GAAGTCTGTCACATCCTGATTAAGAGTAGGCCAGAAATAACCAGTGCGAAGTATTTTGTGGGCTAGGGACCGGGCGCCCGAATGATTACCACAGATACCATCATAGATTCCCCTTATCACGTAGGTTGCTTGAGCAAGATTGAGGCATCTGAGGTATGGGCGTGAAAAATCACGTTTGTACAAGAGGTCGCCGACAAGAATGTAGTTGGACGACCGGGCCCTGACTTTGGCAACCTGCTGTTTGTCGGCTGGCAGTTCCCCCGTTGTCAAGAATAGAGAGATATCGATCGCCCAGGGGATAGGTTCGTTTTGGAGAAAGCAAACTTGTTGTTGGTTTGGGGAAATGGCAGGGTGAGTCAGGTACTCGAGGCGGACACCGTGGCTGAGGTCTGATTGGTCTGCCAAAGCCAACTGAGCCACTTTATCTGCCTTGGAGTTTTCGGTCCGAGGGATGTGCTTGATATGGAAACTGGTGAAGAGGCGAGCGAGAGGGAGTGCAATATCCCTATAAGCCCGCATTGTGTTATCTTTGGCATCGAATTCGCCCGTGATTTGACCGACAATGAGCTGGGAATCGCTGAACACTTGGATATGGCTGACACCAATGTCTCTGGCGAGGCGGAGACCTGCAATCAACGCCTCATATTCGGCTTCATTATTGCTTGCATCGAACAAGAAACAGAAGGCACATTTGAAATAACCACCCTCAAGGGCGGTGGAGATGAGACCAGCCCCACTGCCTCCCTTGCGGGATGATCCTTCGACATTGAGGGTCCAGGAGTGGAGGTCTTCTAGTTCGGTAGGGGTTAGTGGGGGTGGAGGAGCTGTGGTTGGGATAAGATTAGTGAATTCCAGGATGAAATCGGCAACAGCCTGCCCCTTAATCGTTGTCCAAGGCCGGTAGGAGATATCAAACTAGCTGAGTTCGACCGACCATTGCATAAGTCTGCCGGAGAGCTCTGGTTGTTGCATGATCTTTTTCAATGGTTGGTCAGTGAGGACCACTATGGAATGGGCTTGGAAGTAAGGACGGAGTCGTCTGGAGGCAGTGACCAAAGCCAACGACATTTTTTCTAACAATGGGTAATTCTGTTCCGCTCTCCTAAGAGCCCGACTGATGTAGTAGACCGGCCGTTGGACGGAGCTGTCTTCCCTAATGAGAGCTGCACTGACTGCGGTGTTTGACACGGCTAAATAGAGGAATGGGGTTCGCCCGTGATTACCTGAGAAAGTAGGGGGGGATTGGCCATGCACTGTTTTAATTGTTGAAAGGCCTCTTCGGACTCGGCCGTCCACTCAAAAGTTTACCGAAGAACTTTGAAGAAGGAGAGGCACTTGTCCGTTGCGCGAGAAATGAAGCGGTTGAGGGCAGCAACTCGGCTAGTAAGTCTCTGAACCTCCTTAACCATTCTGGGTGACTGCATTTCAATCAAGGCCTTGATCTTTTCGGCGTTAGCTTCAATGCCCCGTTGACTGACCATGAAACCCAGAAACTTCCCAGATCCGATGCCGAAGGCGCATTTCTCCAGATTGAGCTTCATTTAGTACTTTCGTAGGGTGGCGAAGGTCTCTCGCAGGTCGGCCAGATGATCAGTGGGGAGCTTGCTCTTGACTAGCATGTCGTCGACATATACTTCCATGTTCCGGCCTATCTGATGATGAAAGACAGCATTGACCAATCGTTGTAGGTCCCCAGCAAAGTTGTTTTAAAAGTGTGCAATTTTATGGTTTCTGAATAGTTTTTTTTAAATTATAATTTCTAATAATGTGAAATTTCATATATTTGAAATGTAAAAAGTATATATATATATATTAAAAGAAAAAAAGTAGCAATTTGTTTGGTTTCGTTTTTCTGAAAATAGTTTTCAGAAAATTCTACTTTCTTATTTTTCATATTTTTTTGTTTTTACTGATTTTTTAAAATATTTTAAGTAATTTTTTTTTTAATTTTTAGACACACTTAACTAAATACACATAAAAAGTATAATTTTGTGAAAAAATCTTTTAAAAATTCAATAACTATCAAAAATACAAAAAAAAAATATGAAAATTTAGTATGTTTTTCGTATTTTTATGTATTTGTTAATTTTTTAAAATATTTGTTCACAAATTTTTTACTTTTTAGATACATCTAGGTAAGGTACATCTAAAAAAGTAAAAAAAAAATGCTTAAAATTTTAAAAATATTCAGTAAAAACAAAAAAACACGAAAAATAAAAAACTCAATTTTTAAAAAACTTAATTCAGAAAACTCAAACCAAACACACTGATATTTTTTTGGGAAAATTACATACAATTCATAGATTTTGGCCATTATAACAAAATAAACTATGAGTTTTCAATTTTATCAATTTAATACAAATGTTTAAAATTGTTTTCAATCTAAATATTTGTTTATTTTCTTTAAGTAAAACTTATAGAAAAAAATATTTTAATCATTAAAATAAATGAAAAAAGATATTTTCGACATTTCATGTATACTTATATTAAGTTTAATGGTTATAAAAAAAAATTGAATTAATAAAATTAAAAATTTATTTGATTATAAGTCAATTTTTGAGTTTTTTTTTTTTTATAAAGGAATTTTCCATATTTTTTCCTTTTAAAAACACGTTTTATTTTTATATTTTCTACTAAAAATATCCGAAAATATACCTCGGTTCTGTCTACTCTCTTCTGCTCAATAAGGTTTTCTCGAATACATATTTACAATCGAATTTCTCTCAAGAAAAAGTGTAAATCAGCTTCAGATTCTATTCCAATTCCAATATCTCATCCCAGCAAAAATGTAAGCTCAATTCTCTCCATACTCTTATTTCATGCACATCCATGTATATTGATGCTGTTTCAAACAATGATGCTTAAAATCATGAACACCTGTCCTTCTTATGTCTTTTACTGAGAGTATTTGGGCAAAGTTGCTTAGATTGAATCATATTTACAGTGATCCTTTAGGTTGGTCCTGTAATAACAGCATTCTGAGATGCACTATGTTCAAGTTTCTTTGGCTTGTATTCTATAAAAACATATAGGCTTGTTACTCAGGAACTTGTACAAAAATACGAAATGAAAGGAACATAGGAGTTTGTCGCCAGGAATTTAGAACCTATCTCAAAATACCCCTAGAGGGGGATAAGGCTAACCAGAGCGAAAAGGGTTTTTCATGAGATGGGAAATGAAAATTATTAACCCCACACGAGGTTTGCGAATAAGTGATTGTCTGATAATGAGCAAGGATATCCGTCTTTCTGCTAAACAGGATGTATTGAACTCATAATTCATTACATACTTTTTATGAATGTCAACTAAATATTGTAAGTGAATTGCTCCAAGTTTGGGTAGAAAGGAATAGAAGAGTTTTTGCTCAGAAATTTAGACATCAAGATGTGATTGTGGCTGAAATGGTTAAGGATATTAGAGCTAGAGCTAGAGCTAGCTCAATGAGGGGAGTTAAGAATTCTTTGCAAAATTGGCAAGTTTGCATGTATTGGGGTTTGCCTTGCTCTATGCTACAATCGTAAAGCTTAGTCCCTGTATTTGTTCTGGTTCTATAGTTCTTTTTTTTTTTTTTTGGGCTTGTTGTCTGACATGGTTTAGTGTATGGGTTTGTTTTGTTTTGTTTTGAAGTGCTGGGATGTGCCCCTTGTTTGTTTTGTAATGGTGTTTTCTTGTGATATAAAATTTAAAGTTACCAAAAAAAAAAAAAATGATGCTTAAAATCAACTGTGTTTGTTTGTATGCAGGCTGCTGGAGTTGACAACACTTTTCGGAGGAAGTTCGATAGAGAAGAGTATTTGGAACGTGCTCGTGAGCGCGAACAAAAGGTTCTTTGTCTCTCAGAACTTATTTGATCACTGTATTAATTTTTTTTGGGCAAATTATACTGATATTTCTTATGTGAAAGCCTTTGTGTCATTTTAGACTTGTTCTTATAATTTCAATTGGCTTGACTTTGACCTTGATTTATGATTTTGTCCTTGATTTATGATTTTGTCTCCATTTGGTCCAATGGATTACAATTGTTTTTTCAATGGAAAATGCGCATATAAGCGGCATGTGTTATGCTTTTGCCGCCAAAATTGTAAATTTGTTCAGTGGGTTAATCTCAACCAACTTAGTGACCATTTTCCTTCAAAAACTCTAATCGGCATTGTCAATTAGACTAAATTGACACAAAATCTAAAATTAAGGTCAAAATCAAAATCAAGTGAATTGAAATTACAGGGACCAAAATGACACAAGGGGCAATTTGTTTTTTTAATTTGTCTAATTAATGGGTTGATTTTTGTTGTAATGTAGGAGACAAAATCTCGGTCTTAATCCAAATGTAAGTGAATTTAACTAATATTTATATATTCAATTTTTGAATTTGAAATGATGGTTGATTTATAGTTGATCCTCTATGCATATGCATTGTGTGTACTTATTAAGTCTTGACTGCATGGAAGTTTTATTTGATGGGTTTGCATCTTTTGCAGCAAAAGGTCCCCCAATACAAAGGAGACCTTTGAAACACAGGGATTATGAAGTGGACCTTGAATCTCGTTTGGGAAAGACTCAGGTTGACAACTTTGTTTTAATTTATGTCAGCCTTCCATTGTAGTTGCTGATGAATAGTTAATTTCAATTGGCATGTCAAATGGCATATGCTATTGTTAGAAACTAAATTTTTTTTTTTTTTTTTTGATAAATAACCAAATTTTATTAAAAAGTATCAAGATGATGCAAAGAATACAGAAAAGGAAGCCATAGAGGCTTCACAAACAAACGAACTAACAAATCAAATCTTTCACAAATTCGACAAAAGCCAAAACATTCGGATCAACCGATCTAGTCACCCAACCATACAAAATCGTAAGAAGTCGCCGTTCTAACCAAAGGACTGAATGAGACAGCTCCTGAAAAACGCGCCTATTTCGCTCCAACCAAACCAACCATAAAATACAATGAGAAGCAAGCATCCACGCCTTCCGATGTCTCCTTCCAACACGACCCCCTGCCTAACTATATAGGATTGCTTGAACCGACGCTGGCTGCACCCAACCCAAACCAAAAGTCGCAACAACTAACATCCAAAGGCGAGAAGATTCCAGACAATGAATGAGTAAATGATCCACTGACTCCGCAGCACCACAACACAAACAACACCAATTAACCAATATGTGGCCACGGCGAATTAAATTATCCAAAGTCAAAACACGGCCCAACATAGCCGTCCACACAAAAAAGGCCACCTTAGATGGCGTACCCGGAACCCAGACACACTTCCAAGGAAGAGCAACCTCCTCCACATGAGCAAGCACACGATAATAAGAAGAAACGGAAAAAGTCCCCTTAGCCCCAGGACATTCCCAAACCAAAGAGACCTGTCCGTCCTCTCCCACTCTCAACCCATATAAAAAAGCCAACAACTCCACCAACTGACCTTGCTCCCAATCTTGAACAGCACGGCGCAGGCCCACATTCCAAAAAGTCGAAACCCCTTGGCCAGACCACACAACACCCATCAAAACCTCAGCATCAACGGCAATTCCAAAAACCAAAGGGAACCACTCTTCTAAAGTGAGATCACCACACCACCGATCGCGCCAAAACCGAACCCTATCCCCTACCCCAACCTTGAGCTTCACCCGCTTCCAAAACTCCTCCCACCCCAACCAGATCCCCTTCTATAGGCCAAAACCATGAGAATGCCCTACCCGCCCCGAACCCCACACCAAACTTTGCTACCACTACCCTTCTCCAGAAACGGTCGTGCTCTGCCACAAACCGCCACAACCATTTCCTCAACAGGGCTATATTGAACAAGACCAGCCTTCGAATCCCCAAACCCCCTTGCACCTTGGGACGACAAATCCGATCCTAGGCCACCAAATAATAATGGGAACCCTCCCCCCAGAACCCCACAAGAAATCCCTCTGCAACTGCTCTATCCGCTTGGTTACTGACACCGGGATCACATGGACGGACATAAAATATGTCGGGATGGAAGATAGAACACTCTTAATCAACGTAAGTCTCTCTCCTTTTGATAAATATTGCCGTTTCCATCCTGCCAACCGCCGCTGCACACGGTCCACCACCCTATCCCATACCCCTTTAGCCTTAAAAGACGCCCCCAAAGGTAATCCCAAATACGTAATTGGCAAATTTGCCACCTTACACCCGAGAATAGCTGCCAACACTGGAATCGTAGCCACCTCCCCCACTGGAATCAGTTCTGACTTTGCTAAGTTCACCCGAAGACCTGAGACGGCCTTAAAACACAATAACACACATCTCAAATACCTAATTCGATCCACATCCGCATCGCAGAAAATAAGTGCATCATCTACATAGAACAAATGGGAAATCGCAAATTAGTAGGATCCTTTCCCACCGCAAATCCCTGCAGCCGTCCTTCCTGCACCGCTCTAGATAACAACCGCCTCAGCGCTTCCATCACCAGTATAAACAATAAAGGAGATAAAGGATCTCCTTGCCGGAGCCCCCTATAAGTAGGAAAGAAACCCGCTGGAGACCCATTCACAAGAACTGACATCCGCACCGTGGAAATACAAAATTGGATCCAACGCCTCCACTGAACCCCAAAACCGAGTCTGTCCAACATATATAGTAAAAACTTCCAATTAACATTATCATTAGAAACTAGATTTGATTAGTTTCTTAGTGTAATGGTTGTTTGAATGCATGTTTCAAATCCATAGAACTGACAAGGACATGGATTTATCTTCTGCTGTTTAATTGATTGATTTTTATTTTATATTCCTTTTGCAATAACTTGAGAAGTGAAATGTAAGAGTAGTGCAGCGATGGGGTTATTTAAGCCTTTGTAGACGTAAATTGTGGAGAACTTTATGGTAGGCACCAGAACCTGCCAATCAATTAAGTGTGCATGAAAACCAAAAAGACAACAAGGAAGACAATTGAAATTGAGTGAAGAGGAAAAAAAAGAAAAAGAAAAAAAGAAGAAAGAATATTGATTTTGAAATATAATTCATTAAGTAAGGCGTGTTATATTTACAATTACAAACATCACTAAAACATTTACTAAATGTGCTATAATTATGAACTTAAGATATGATCAATGGGAAAAGAAATGGTTAATTTTTTCAATGACTAATAACCTACAACTACAAATAAAGGCCTGATTGGATTTGAAACTATTAAAATTACACCACTCCAACTTTTATAATTGGTTACAAATCGGTTGATAAAATGTTAACTTCGAGAGGAAATGGACAGGTATGGAGGAAGGGTGAGAACTGAGGTTCATCCTTGGCAATGACAGTGTGACAAGCAAAGGAAAGGGCAACAAGCCATGTCGAAAAAGCTTCTAATCACTGGCATTGGCAACATCAACTTGATTAAGAGAGGTTGAGAGACAAAGATGGAATGAATGAAGAGAGGAAGTGCAAGAGAAGTAATAAAGAGAGTTACAGACTCCACCTTTACAATTTCCCCCAATTATCCAACCGATGTCCCTAAAGTGTTAGGAATAGGTATAAAAAAAAAATTCATAGATCCTAGTCCTTGGTTTCTCATAGCTAATGTGTCATGATCTTATGTAGCTTAAGAGACATGTGCCTAGCATGTGATTGCTTCGATTCGTTGTGGACACATCCCACCCATAAGCTTAATTTCCCCCAATTATCCAACCGATGTCCCTAAAGTGTTAGGAATAGGTATAAAGTGGACACATCCCACCCATAAGCTTATAAATATGCCAAAACAACTAACAGAAGTTAACAAGCTATTACTCATTTCCAAAACAAATGAAATAAACCAAGTTTGCAAATATAGGCTGCATCATAGGACTTGTTATCAGATTTTGTAGTAGATATCTTTGAAGTTAGAAGATGTATTCTGACCCTATTCTCTATTGACATGCAAATAAGAAATCATACAATTTGAGCACTGACTTCAATTATTTGTTGATTGAGTATATTATTCTTGTCCGTGCGGATTGCTGAATGCACATAATGATTCTTTTGGAAAACTAGCTCTTTGATTTAGCATGCATTCTTTTTTGGAAAACTAACAAATGGTGATATTGTTAGTTTGTTGAAACAATTTTTCTGGGTTTTAAGCCATTTTAGTGGCATCAAGTAAGAGAAAATCTTGTGGCATCAACTTGAATGTCATAGACTCATACTTGCTTCTTAAACAACAATATGGACTTTGGTTGGCTCCTACTTGGAGGAGGAAATCAGTTTCAATATTCACGCCTCTCATAGGTTTAGGCATGGATGATGATGAGGACCAGTGTTATTAAAGGTGATAGGCGCACCAAGGCACCAAGGTCTTCTAGGGCCTAGGCTCAAGGTGTAAGGCAAGGCGTAGGCTTCATTGAAGTGAGGCGCACCTTGTACGTAAAAAAATATATAATTTAATATAACTAAATTATTTAGGGTTCAACATAAGCATAATAAAATCTTAAACATTTAAAAATATATATACCAACAAATACTACTATTTTAAAATAGACAAATGAACAATATTTCAAAATTTAACATAAAATATGATTAAAATGAGAGGAGAGGAGAAGAAGAATAGGAGGGAGAATAAGCATAAGAAGATGGAAGATAGAAGATGGAAGATGAAGAAGGCAACATCATCACAGCCATGTGAAGAAGAAGATAGCTACGTAGAGAAGAAAAATAGAGAAGACAATAATATAGACAAGAAGAAGAGAAGAGAATGAAATAGAAACATAAGAAAAGAAGGGAAAAAAAAGACAACGTGAAGAAGAATTTTTGGATTTGCTGGATTGGATAATGAAGGCATGCAGTATAGTAAAGTCTTCTTCAGAGATTAGGAATTATGGCTAATGTTTATTTTATTATTGATTTATGGTTGAATGCCCAATGTATTGGCATGTGTAAGAAGGGTAGAGATCTTTTGTAGCTGCATCATCTTAAATCAATGGTAAGATTTTAAACAAAACCAATTAAAGCAATAATAAAAAAAACCCTCAAGACTTGGGCCTTATTGCTCCTTGGACCAGTCGTGTGCCTTATTGAAGCCTGGGCTGGAACACTACAAAGCGCAAACCTTGGGCCTGGATGGGACTTGGGCCTAGACGCACGCCTAGGCACACCTTATTGAAGTCGCTTGGTTTGGAACACTATAAGGCGCAAACCTTAGGCTTGGATGGGAGTTGAGCCTAGGCGCCCTTTTAATAACACTGATGAGGACAACCCCCATCTCTTAAGAGTGAACCCAATAACTAGAGTCTTGACTCTAACAGAGTGGAATTCATTTCTTCCACCTATCACCAAAACCCCTTAAACTACAAACAAAGTCCAAGAAACCACAACCCACATGATCATATGCTTTTTCAAAATCGACTTTAAAAATAATACCCTCCTTATTAGTGCTATATTCGTTTATCACCTCATCAACTATCAAAGCTACATAATTTGACTACTTTTAGCAAAAGCCCCTTGAGAAGGAGTAATGGTGCCCCCTAACACTAATCTCAACCTGTTTTACAATACTTTTGCCAATATTTTATACAAAGAGGTAACTAAGCTAGTTGGCCTAAAATCAGCCATCTTAAAAGAATTTTCGTTCTTAGGAATGAAGCATATAAATGCAGTATTTGTACAAGCGTTAACAATCCCATTCTCAAAAAATGCTGCAAAAACTTTCATTTGATCATTCTTTACAACCTCCCAACAATCCTGAGAAATGACCATAGTAAAGCCATTGGGGTCCTGAGAGTTGTCCCTCTCACATCAAACTGGCCATAGTAATCTCCACTTCATTGAAGGCCTCTCTAAGCATCCAAACTTACTATCATCAACTATCATCAATAGGAGACATCTCCAAACCTGAGATACCTAGCCCATTTGCCCCACGGTAAGAGTACAACCTTATATAGAAAGAAAAGATCGCATTGATAATTTGATCTTCCCTCTCCACAATTGACGTTAACCTTTTTATAACTTCTTTTTTTTTTCCTATTTACATTATGAATCAACTTAGAATTGTTATCTCCTTCCTTCAACCATTTGATCTTGGCTTTTTGGCTCCAAGAGATTTGCTCCCTACACAAATTTCTCAAATTTGATCTTCAACTACATTTTTTCCCTCTTAAGAGCTTCATTGAGGCTCCCCTCGCCTCAAGCTTATCCATCTTATCAATCATCTTCAAAACCTCATTCTAGCCACTCTCAAGTCCCCAATTTAAACCTTCAGCTTAGACATATTGTAGCACATGAATATAATTGTCTACATATGGGCATGAAACTCTTGATCTTGGCTTTTTGGCTCCAAGAGATTTGTTTGCTATACACAAATTTCTCAAATTTGATCTCCAAAACCATTTTTTTCATCCTAAGAGCCTCATCGAAGCTCCCCTTGCCTCAAGATTATTCATCTTATCAATCATCTTCAAAACCTCATTCGAACCACTGTCAAGTCCCCAAATTAAATTTTTAGCTTAGATGCAATGTAGCACATGAATATCTGCATATGGGTACGAAACTCTTTCCTGTGGCTTTGAAGGTAAAAGTTTTGGTTTTTGCTATAAATCTTTGGATGCTATTTGAGGGATGATGGAATTTATTATGCTCTTGGATTATTTATCAGTTTCCTGCTGTAATAAGAGATAAGAATGGTTGTTATTTCTTTATCGACCTTAAACTATTGAAAAACCTTTGACTTCATATATTGGATATACTTGGATTCTGGCATTTGCTATTTTCTCACATGGTTCATTATTTCTTTGTATTTACTTTAATATATGATAATCTTTTCCCTGGCAGGTTGTTACTCCAATAGCACCCCTAAACTAACAGGTATTCTTGAATCACATATTAATATAGTAATATCATATGTCTCTTCTCATTCTCTTTGTGATCTTGGATATGTAGCTTTTCATTATCCTGTAATTGTTGAATAACCATACTGGTGCTGCTGCTGCTGTGGCTGCTACTACTACTATTACTACTACTATTTTCTCGTTCTTTTTGTGGTCTTGGATATGTACCTTGTCATTATCTGGTAATTGTTGATTAACCATACTACTCTTCCAACCACTACTACCACCATAACAATTACTACGACTACCGCCACCACCTTCTACTACTATCATTCAAGTGTGGGAACAATGATATCATGTGAAACATTAAATGGCTTAACATCAGGGGTAAGGTGATGTCTGGTCGTAGTTGGTCCACATGTGGTTCTAGACTCTGGCAACACCATGCCAGGTAAATTTTTTTTGATAAATAACCATGCTAGGCAATTTTGGTCTCATATCAACTTATGCTTAAGGATATCTAGTTTGGATTGAGACACTGGTGCTTTTTATATGTGAATGTAATATATACATCCATGGAATATTTTGAAAGCAAAGAAGAATGATTTTCTATAATTTTATCATTTGCTTCTATCCTATAATCTCTTTGCTTTGGCATTCTGTGATATAATTATATTTTTTGCAGGCAGGGTACTACTGCTCTCAGTTTGGGAATGTGTAGTGAAGGATTCTGCAAACTATTTGGACCATATCAATGGGAAGAAACGTAAGTG